ATGGAAGATGGGTGGATGGATGGATGGATGGATGATGGATGGAAGATGGGTGGATAGATGGATGGATGGATGGATGGATGGATGGATGGATGATGGATGGATGATGAATGGAAGGATGAATGAAGGATGGATGGATGGATGGATGATGGATGGATGATGGATGGAAGATGGGTGGATGGATGGATGGATGGATGGATGATGGATGGAAGATGGGTGGATGGATGGATGGATGGATGGATGATGGATGGATGGATGGATGGATGATGGATGGAAGATGGGTGGATAGATGGATGGATGGATGGATGATGGATGGATGATGGATGGATGATGGATGGATGATGGATGGAAGATGGGTGGATGATGGATGGAAGATGGGTGGATGGATGGATGGATGGATGGATGGATGGATGGATGGATGATGGATGGAAGATGGGTGGATGGATGGATGGATGGATGGATGGATGGATGGATGGATGATGGATGGATGATGGATGGAAGATGGGTGGATAGATGGATGGATGGATGGATGATGGATGGAAGATGGGTGGATAGATGGATGGATGGATGGATGATGGATGGATGATGGATGGATGATGGATGGATGATGGATGGAAGATGGGTGGATGATGGATGGAAGATGGGTGGATGGATGGATGGATGGATGGATGGATGGATGGATGGATGATGGATGGAAGATGGGTGGATAGATGGATGGATGGATGGATGATGGATGGATGATGGATGGATGATGGATGGATGATGGATGGATGATGGATGGATGATGGATGGAAGATGGGTGGATAGATGGATGGATGGATGGAATATGATTCTGATTCATATGGGTCCACTAGAAGACGTCTGGAGGTGGTTCTGGTTCTGATGGGAGGTCCATGGATCGGTCCTTATTAAGGTCTTTGTCAGAAGAAATGACACCATGAAACATCAGAGCTGAATTCATCTTCTATCCACTGATCCACACAGCATGACGCTGCCACCTCTGTGTTCCGCTGGTGTTTTGTCATGTCTGAGCAGAGAGAGAGGAGAGTAGAGTAGTACTAATGTTGTTAAAGATGAAGATGAGGAAGATCCAGGTATTATTGAGGGATTTCTGGAACTGGACCGTTGGAGCAGTGGACCCAGAAGATGTTGGAGGATGGACGGGTCTCTTCTCAGCCTGCTGGCAGCCAGCTCCTCTAAGCCTGCTGGGAGCCAGCTCTTCTCAGCCTACTAGCTGCCACTTCCTTTCAGAAGTCTGGCAACCAGCTCCTCTCAGCCTGCTGGCAGCCAGCTCCTCTCAGCCTGCTGGCAGCCAGCTCCTCTAAGCCTACTGGCAGCCAGCTCCTCTAAGCCTGCTGGCAGCCAGCTCCTCTCAGCCTGCTGGCAGCCAGCTCCTCTCAGCCTGCTGGCAGCCAGCTCCTCTAATCCTGCTGTCAGCCAGCTCCTCTAATCCTGCTGGCAGCCAGCTCCTCTCAGCCTGCTGTAAGCCAGCTCCTCTCAGCCTGCTGGCAGCCAGCTCCTCTCAGCCTGCTGGCAGCCAGCTCCTCTCAGCCTGCTGGTAGCCAGCTCCTCTCAGCCATCTGGCAGCCAGCTCCTCTCAGCCATCTGGCAGCCAGCTCCTCTCAGCCTGCTGGAAGCCAGCTCCTCTAAGCCTGCTGGCAGCCAGCTCCTCTCAGCCTGCTGGCAGCCAGCTCCTCTCAGCCTGCTGGCAGCCAGCTCCTCTAAGCCTGCTGGCAGCCAGCTCCTCTAAGCCTGCTGGCAGCCAGCTCCTCTAAGCCTGCTGGCAGCCAGCTCCTCTCGGCCTGCTGGCAGCCAGCTCCTCTAAGCCTGCTGGCAGCCAGCTCCTCTCAGCCTGCTGGCAGCCAGCTCCTCTCAGCCTGCTGGCAGCCAGCTCCTCTCAGCCTACTGGCAGCCAGCTCCTCTCAGCCTGCTGGCAGCCAGCTCCTCTCAGCCTACTGGCAGCTAGCTGCTCTAAGCCTGCTTGCAGCCAACTCCTCTAAGCCTGCTTGCAGCCAACTCCTCTCAGCCTACTGGCAGCCAGCTCCTCTCAGCCTGCTGGCAGCCAGCTCCTCTCAGCCTGCTGGCAGCCAGCTCCTCTCAGCCTGCTGGCAGCCAGCTCCTCTCAGCCTGCTGGCAGCCAGCTCCTCTCAGCCTGCTTGCAGCCAGCTCCTCTAAGCCTGCTGGCAGCCAACTCCTCTCAGCCTGCTGGCAGCCAGCTCTTTTCAGCCTGCTGGCAGCCAGCTTCTCTCAGAATGCTGGCAGCCAGCTCCTCTTAGCCTGCTGGCAGCCAGCTCCTCTCAGCCTGCTGGCAGCCAGCTTCTCTCAGAATGCTGGCAGCCAGCTCCTCTTAGCCTGCTGGCAGCCAGCTCTTTTCAGCCTGCTGGCAGACAGCTCCTCTCAGCCTGCTGGCAGCCAGCTCCTCTTAGCCTGCTGGCAGCCAGCTTCTCTCAGAATGCTGGCAGCCAGCTCCTCTTAGCCTGCTGGCAGCCAGCTCCTCTCAGCCTGCTGGCAGACAGCTCCTCTCAGCCTGCTGGCAGCCAGCTCCTCTCAGCCTGGTGGAAGCCAGCTCCTCTAAGCCTGCTGGCAGCCAGCTCCTCTCAGCCTGCTGGCAGCCAGCTCCTCTAAGCCTGCTGGCAGCCAGCTCCTCTCAGTCTGCTGGCAGACAGCTTCTCCAAGCCTGGTGGAAGCCAGCTCCTCTCAGCCTGCTGGCAGCCAGCTCCTCTCAGCCATCTGGCAGCCAGCTCCTCTCAGCCTGCTGGAAGCCAGCTCCTCTCAGCCATCTGGCAGCCAGCTCCTCTCAGCCTACTGGCAGCCAGCTCTTCTCAGCCTGCTGGCAACCAGCTCCTTTAAGCCTGCTGGCAGCCAGCTCCTCTCAGCCTGCTGGCAGCCAGCTCCTCTCAGCCATCTGGCAGCCAGCTCCTCTCAGCCTACTGGCAGCCAGCTCTTCTTAGCCTGCTGGCAACCAGCTCCTTTAAGCCTGCTGGCAGGAAGCTCCTCTCAGCCTACTGGCAGACAGCTCTTCTCAGCCTGCTGGCAGCCAGCTCCTCTCAGCCTACTGGCAGACTGCTCTTCTCAGCCTGCTGGCAGCCAGCTCCTCTCAGCTCTTAGCAAATGGATGAAACTCAGGTGAGCTGAGACACCATATCAGTATCTGCCCCACAGCGCCCTCCAGTGGCCACTAACTCTGCTGGGTTCCTTATGTTCTCTTCTTTAAAACCTCTGAGGCCAGAACCAAAGTATCAAATATAAAGCAGTAAATTATTCTCAGCTAGGTTTAAGGGCGTCAGAGTAGGGAGGGCTCTTCATAAATGGTCCAGTTCTGCTCCGTTCTGTGTGGTTCTGTTACAGTAAACTGAGCAGAATGAGTTTGGACCAGAATATGTTTCAGTGAAGGTGTCAGAATCATAATGGACCCAGCTTCTGTCCAGGCAGGTTTGCAGTAACTGTAACTGTGATGATATTCAGAGAATCAGGTGGTTCTGGTTCTGGTTCTGGATCTCTGCCTATAGAACTGGATCAGGCTGCAGAGGAGCAGCTGCTGATGATGATTGATGTTGTCAGAGTTTCCAGCTCCTTTAGAACAGTTAACCTGGCGGTCCAGCCTGGCTGCAGCCGGGTCGCTGGCGCTGATGGATGGTTCTGACCTTCTACGACCCAGAGAGAGCAGCGAGCTGTTAGGGAGGATGAGGAGCAGCTGGACCTGATGCACGCTGAGTCCGTTACGTAATCCAGAACATCCGACCAAGGAGGCTGAGAGCTGAATGGGCCTGAAGGCTTTAGAACCCCTCTGCTTCCAGAACCTTCTGCTTTCAGAACCAGCAGTGCTTTCAGAACCTTCTGCTTTAGAACCAGCAGTGCTTCCAGAACATGTCACATCTACCTGATCTTCCTTTGCAAAGACCCAGCGGTCCATCTAATCCACTGAAACATTTGGGTTGATGCTTTACCTTCAGTTCTGGACCTGGTTCTGATCACTTGCTGCTTTAGTGATCCATGAGGGTTCTGGAGCAGACCCACTAAACCACTGGGTTCTGATCCACCCGGTTCTGTTTCAGCAGGACAGGTAAGTTTCAGAACCAACTAGACCTGACTGAGGTTCTGAAGAACCAAGGAAATAATCTGTCACTGTGATAGAAAGAGGCTATATAAACGGATCAGAACCATCAGAACCTCTAACCATGCTGGACCTGATACAAACAGCACTACTGTTACCATGGTAACTGGTAAAAATTTAACTGACGGAGGAAGGAAAAACTAAACCACATTAAAGTCACCCAAACATCTTCAGAAACTTTGGACCCATCATTTTCTGATCATGGGATGGTCCTGATGCTGCTGCCATGGAGCTCCTCCTTCTTCTCCTGTTCCTGGTTGACCTTCATAATGACATCATCACTGAGGCGTTTCTCAGATCCATCATCAGAACCAAGGCGCGGTTCTGCTGTTGCTGTTTGGATCAAAAATATTGGAGATCAGAAGCAGAAGGACTGTAGAACCTTCTTGATCCATTTCTTGATCAGATTCAGCCTAAGCTTCGGTCCATTTAGCAGAACCGGTTTCAGGGCTGGTAGGCGATCCAGCCCTCCAGAACCTTAGACGGTCCATCTCATCAGGACAGGTCAGATTACCTTCCACTCCTCCACTGCTCAGTGGTGATGCAGGAGAACCTCCCACCATCTGCATCTTTAGCTGTGTTATACCTCAGTGTGACACGTTACGAGTCCAGGTCCATGAAGGTGGAGCTCAGCCTTGGAGAACACTAACAGGATGTAGGCAGCCTCTGATTGGCTGGTTGGGGACAGGAAGTGATGTAACATTCCTGCCCTGTTCTGGAGATCTGGAATAACAGAGAGCGGTTACCCTGGCTACAGCCACAGTCGCCTAGGTAACCAGCCCCCTGAGGCTGCAACAGCTGTTATCACAAGGTTACCGTAGCAACGAGCAGCAGAGATGCTGGAATGTGATTCAACTCTTCTCTTCATCTGTGCTGCATGTCGTTACAGATGAACGGATCCGAGGGAGAGCTGGAGTACGAAGAGATCACGCTGGAGAGGGTGAGGTCACACCTGCACCCACAGCCACACCAGAACACGCACAGTCGCCAACACTGTAACATTTGAACACCTAGAAGACAATAAAACTCCATAGTATACTCTAACACCCAGAACAGCATTTTACCACCATGGACTACACGGTACATTGTAACACCCAGGATGCCCCCCTGATGAATGGATGATTAATACCCACAACTATCATACCAACACATTGGAATGTGTTGAACACCCAGAACTATAACAAAACAGCCAGAACAAGATTCTTAAACCCAGTAAGGTTTACATCTATACTGTAACACATGAAATGAAAAGACCCAGAACTATCAATACAACAATCGTAATCCAATAACACCCAAAAATTCATCATAATCCCCGACGAAAACAGTGTAACACTAGAACTACAATACAACATCCCTGATACACTGCAACACACAGAACAACACAGCAATACCCAAAGCAATGCTGCAAAAAGGAAGTGAAAGCTGTAACACCCACTGTAACACCTGCAACAACATCGTAACACCAAGTGTTACAATGTTTCACTACACCGAGAGCAACACCGCAATACCAGGAGGTACAACCTGCACCAGCACTGTAACACCCAGGTCTACAACACCCAGATTTACTCTTTAAAACAGTAATACTCAGATTTACTCTTTAAAACAGTAATACCCACAGTTGCTCTGTAACACCCAGGGTTACTTTACAATACCCAGAGTTACTCTGTAGTACCCAGGGTTACTCTGTAATACACAAAGTTACTCTGTAGTACCCAGGGTTACTCTGTAATACACAGAGTTACTCTGTAATACCCAGGGTTACTCTGTAATACACAAAGTTACTCTGTAGTACCCAGGGTTACTCTGTAATGTAACTCTGTAATACCAAGAGCTAAACAGTAAATGCTGCAGTGCTAAAGTAACACTTTGAGAGTACATTTGGTCCCACACTAATTCAGGGGGACCAGATGTACTCCTGAGTGTTACTTTAACATTGCAACATTAACTGTGTACTATGCGATGCCTGTGGTGTGATACCCAGGGTTACTTTGTAAAACCCAGAGTTACGCTATGTTACCCAGGGTTACTCTGCAATACCCTTACTCACTTTGTGATAACCAGAGGCACTCTGTGATACCCAGGGTTACTCTGTAATGTAACTCTTTGATACCCAGAGTTACTCTGTGATACCCAGGGTTACTCTATGATACCTAGGGTTACTCTGTGATACCCAGAGTTACTCTGTAATGTAACTCTGTGATACCCAGAGTTACTCTGTGATACCCAGGGTTACTCTATGATACCCAGGGATACTCTGTGATACCCAGGGTTACTCTATGATACCTAGGGTTACTCTGTGATACCCAGAGTTACTCTGTAATGTAACTCTGTGATACCCAGGGATACTCTGTGAGACCCAGGGTTACTCCTTGATACACAAAGCTACTCTGCAATACACAAAGTTGCCCTGTGATACCCAGGGTTACTCTGTTATACCCAGAGTTACTTTGCGATACCCAGAGTTATTCTGTGGCACTCAGGGTTACTCTATGATTCCCAGAGTTACTCTGTAATGTAACTCTGTGATTCCCAGGGTTACTTTGTGATACCCAGAGTAACTCTGGGTATCACAGAGTAACCCAGAGTTATTCTGTGGCACTCAGGGTTACTCTATGATTCCCAGAGTTACTCTGTAATGTAACTCTGTTATACCCAGAGTTACTTTGCAGCACTCAGAGTTACTCAGTAATACCCAGAGATACTCTGCAATGTCAATAGAATTATTGTGGTTTCCACTGTCAGTCCTGCCTCTAAGCAAACCCAAACAGAACCAGCTCAGAGGTTCAGGTGGTCCATGAAGACATCCTTCCAGAGATCTTCACATGTTCCTCAGTAACCCAGCCTGTGTTCTCAGGAGGATCCATAAATAGCTGCTGCTGGTTCTGTTTTTAGAACTTGTCACTCTGCCCCCCTCCCTAAATAAACATCAGCAGGTTATTTTTAGCCCGCTGTCGACTCCTTTAGAAATCAAACCAACCTAAGCAGAACCAAGGAGAGAATTGGACCGGTGCTGGCTGTGTTCTCAGAACCCCAGCTGTCAAGTTGATGAGGACAAGATGAGTCATTGTCACACTAATCCGTCTGTCACCAGTACTAAGCTGATGCAGCTTCATCATCTCTGAGGTTCTCGTTTTTCTTTTTTTTTTTACCTTCCTTCCTCTCTGAGGTTCTGGTTGTTTTGGACCTTCCTCTCTGAGGTTCTGGTTGTTTTGGACCTTCCTAGCTGAGGTTCTGCTTGTTTTGGACCTGCCCAGCTGAGGTTCTGGTTGTTTTGGACCTGCCCAGCTGAGGTTCTGGTTGTTTTGGATCATCATCAGGTTTCAGGGATGTAGCATTAAAGGTCTGTCTGTTACAGGGGAACTCTGGACTGGGCTTCAGCATCGCAGGAGGAACCGATAATCCTCACATCGGGGACGACCCGTCCATCTTCATCACCAAGATCATCCCTGGAGGAGCTGCTGCCCAGGATGGACGCCTCAGGTACCAAAGGTTCTGACCCAGCGTAGAAAGAGGCTAACCAGATTATCTCTTTCATTTGAGCTGAACTAAATAAATCATTTTCATTTATTGCAGAAATATTGAACACCTTTTTACTTCAGTGAAACTTCTTGTGATGTCAGAACTCCTCAATGAACAGAACCAGAACCATAGAACTGCAGAACATTGTTACTGAGTCTGCTAGTGGCTGACTGGACCCTTCATCTGTACCAGAACCATTGCAACTAAGGTTAACTGGGGTCCAAGCTTTCTCCACATGGAGGTGGAAAGTTCTGAGATCAGAAGAACTTCCTCTGCTGCAGCGTTTGGACAGAACTAGATGTTCTAGCTGCCATCAGCTTGTTCTGCATGTAAAGAACTGAGGCCGTTTCTCAACCTGTGTACTTGTGCGTTCTTGTGTCCTTGTGAAACGTTGTCAGACTCAATACTGTTCCAGTTACCTAGAACAGCAGACTGAGAATGGACAAAGCAGTCAGGGCTAAAGTTAGTCCTGGCTGCTGCAGACAGGCTAACGTTAGCCCGTCTAGAGCGGCCAGGGCTAACAATAGCCTGTATGAAGCACCCAGGGCTAAAGTTAGCCCGTCTGCAGTGGCCAGGGCTAACGTTGGCCCGTCTGCAGCGGCCAGGGCTAATGTTGGCCCGTCTGCAGCGGCCAGGGCTAACGTTGGCCCGTCTGCAGCGGCCAGGGCTAACGTTATTCCGTCTGCAGTGGCCAGGGCTCACGTTAGCCCGTCTGCAGCGGCCAGGGCTAACGTTGGCCCGTCTGCAGCGGCCAGGGCTAATGTTGGCCCGTCTGCAGCGGCCAGGGCTAACGTTATTCCGTCTGCAGTGGCCAGGGCTAACGTTGGCCCGTCTGCAGTGGCCAGGGCTAACGTTGGCCCGTCTGCAGCGGCCAGGGCTAACGTTATTCCGTCTGCAGGGGCCAGGGCTAACGTTATTCCGTCTGCAGGGGCCAGGGCTAATGTTATTCCGTCTGCAGCGGCCAGGGCTAACATTTGCCCGTCTGCAGCGGCCAGGGCTAACATTTGCCCGTCTGCAGGGGCCAGGGCTAACGTTGGCCCGTCTGCAGCGGCCAGGGCTAATGTTGGCCCGTCTGCAGCGGCCAGGGCTAATGTTGGCCCGTCTGCAGCGGCCAGGGCTAACGTTATTCCGTCTGCAGTGGCCAGGGCTAACGTTGGCCCGTCTGCAGTGGCCAGGGCTAACGTTGGCCCGTCTGCAGCGGCCAGGGCTAACGTTATTCCGTCTGCAGGGGCCAGGGCTAACGTTATTCCGTCTGCAGGGGCCAGGGCTAATGTTATTCCGTCTGCAGCGGCCAGGGCTAACATTTGCCCGTCTGCAGCGGCCAGGGCTAACATTTGCCCGTCTGCAGGGGCCAGGGCTAATGTTATTCCGTCTGCAGCGGCCAGGGCTAACGTTGGCCCGTCTGCAGCAGCAAGGGCTAATGTTATTCCGTCTGCAGCAGCCAGGGCTAACGTTGGCCCTTCTGCAGTGGCCAGGGCTAATGTTATTCCGTCTGCAGTGGCCAGGGCTAACGTTGGCCCTTCTGCAGTGGCCAGGGCTAACGTTAGCCCTTCTGCAGTGGCCAGGGCTAACGTTGGCCCTTCTGCAGTGGCCAGGGCTAACGTTGGCCCTTCTGCAGTGGCCAGGGCTAACGTTGGCCCTTCTGCAGTGGCCAGGGCTAATGTTATTCCGTCTGCAGTGGCCAGGGCTAATGTTATTCCGTCTGCAGTGGCCAGGGCTAATGTTATTCCGTCTGCAGTGGCCAGGGCTAATGTTATTCCGTCTGCAGTGGCCAGGGCTAATGTTATTCCGTCTGCAGTGGCCAGGGCTAATGTTATTCCGTCTGCAGGGGCCAGGGCTAATGTTATTCCGTCTGCAGTGGCCAGGGCTAACATTTGCCCGTCTGCAGCGGCCAGGGCTAACATTTGCCCGTCTGCAGCGGCCAGGGCTAACATTTGCCCGTCTGCAGGGGCCAGGGCTAATGTTATTCCGTCTGCAGCGGCCAGGGCTAACGTTGGCCCGTCTGCAGCAGCAAGGGCTAATGTTATTCCGTCTGCAGCAGCCAGGGCTAACGTTGGCCCTTCTGCAGTGGCCAGGGCTAATGTTATTCCGTCTGCAGCAGCCAGGGCTAACGTTGGCCCTTCTGCAGTGGCCAGGGCTAATGTTATTCCGTCTGCAGCAGCCAGGGCTAATTTTATTCCGTCTGCAGTGGCCAGGGCTAACGTTGGCCCGTCTGCAGCAGCAAGGGCTAATGTTTTTCTGTCTGCAGCAGCCAGGGCTAACGTTGGCCCTTCTGCAGTGGCCAGGGCTAATGTTATTCCGTCTGCAGTGGCCAGGGCTAACGTTGGCCCTTCTGCAGTGGCCAGGGCTAATGTTATTCCGTCTGCAGCAGCCAAGGCTAACGTTGGCCCTTCTGCAGTGGCCAGGGCTAATGTTATTCCGTCTGCAGTGGCCAGGGCTAATGTTATTCCGTCTGCAGTGGCCAGGGCTAACGTTGGCCCTTCTGCAGTGGCCAGGGCTAATGTTATTCCGTCTGCAGCGGCCAGGGCTAATGTTGGCCCGTCTGCAGCGGCCAGGGCTAATGTTATTCCGTCTGCAGTGGCCAGGGCTAACGTTGGCCCTTCTGCAGTGGCCAGGGCTAATGTTATTCCGTCTGCAGTGGCCAGGGCTAATGTTATTCCGTCTGCAGTGGCCAGGGCTAACGTTGGCCCTTCTGCAGTGGCCAGGGCTAATGTTATTCCGTCTGCAGTGGCCAGGGCTAACGTTGGCCCTTCTGCAGTGGCCAGGGCTAATGTTATTCCGTCTGCAGCAGCCAGGTCAGTTGCCAGGGCTAACGTTGGCCCTTCTGCAGTGGCCAGGGCTAATGTTATTCCGTCTGCAGCAGCCAAGGCTAACGTTGGCCCTTCTGCAGTGGCCAGGGCTAATGTTATTCCGTCTGCAGTGGCCAGGGCTAATGTTATTCCGTCTGCAGTGGCCAGGGCTAACGTTGGCCCTTCTGCAGTGGCCAGGGCTAATGTTATTCCGTCTGCAGCGGCCAGGGCTAACGTTGGCCCTTCTGCAGTGGCCAGGGCTAACGTTGGCCCTTCTGCAGTGGCCAGGGCTAATGTTATTCCGTCTGCAGTGGCCAGGGCTAATGTTATTCCGTCTGCAGTGGCCAGGGCTAACGTTGGCCCTTCTGCAGTGGCCAGGGCTAATGTTATTCCGTCTGCAGCAGCCAGGTCAGTTGCCAGGGCTAACGTTGGCCCTTCTGCAGTGGCCAGGGCTAATGTTATTCCGTCTGCAGTGGCCAGGGCTAATGTTATTCCGTCTGCAGTGGCCAGGGCTAATGTTATTCCGTCTGCAGTGGCCAGGGCTAATGTTATTCCGTCTGCAGTGGCCAGGGCTAACGTTGGCCCTTCTGCAGTGGCCAGGGCTAATGTTATTCCGTCTGCAGTGGCCAGGGCTAACGTTGGCCCTTCTGCAGCGGCCAGGGCTAATGTTATTCCGTCTGCAGCAGCCAGGTCAGTTGCCAGGGCTAAAACGTCCCCTGTCCTCCATTGCTCAATCTTTACGACCAATGGGGCTCTGGTGAGGCAGAAGTTACAGAACCGATGACAGAACCTCATTCAGTTTTTTCACTTGTAGATTTAGAAATGGATCAAGTATGTCATGTCAAAGGGTCACAGAACTGAACCATCCTGGCTCTGATTTAACCTGCTTAGACCTTCAGCCCAGAGTGGACCTGGTTCTGATCCAGACCCACTGACTGCGGCTCCGGCCTGGTCCAGAACCTGATGCTGTGTCTGTCTGCAGGGTGAACGACAGCATCGTTTTCGTGAACGACGTGGACGTGCGAGAAGTCTCTCACTCATTGGCTGTGGAGGCCCTGAAGGAGGCGGGGCCTGTGGTCCGACTCTACGTCCTGAGGCGCCGCCCCCCCACTGAACGCATCATGCAGGTCAAACTGATGAAGGGACCCAAAGGTGAGCAGAGCCGTGGTCTGTTCTGATCATCAGGAGCTGTGATAAACGGGCATCAGAACCAGAGCAGATACATCTATTGGACCTGACCAGAACCAGCATATTTAACCCAGTTAGTGTGAGTGGTTGGTTCTGGCTCCGCCTCCTCACCGTTTGAACCTTGACCTCGGTCTCAGCTGCACAGCTGAACCTGAGTCATTTCTGCAGGAAGCTACCAGAACTTCTGGGTCTGTAAAAAGCCTCCCTCTGCGTGGTTCTGAATGGAGAAAGAAGGTTCTGTTTTAGGCTCATTGATGCTTCTTCAGACACCAGAACCAGAACATGTTTAACTGGACCCTGGTTCTTGTTGAAGCTAAGGAAACAGTCCTCAGTTCCTCTGTCTCCATTAGAACCTTCTAGAGATGTCAGGGTCCAGATAGTTGATCTCTCAGGGTTTTTGGGGTCCGTTGCCTTCAGTTCCAGAACCAGCTGATGCTGTGTCTGCCTAACCGGTCCTGTGTGGTTCTGGTCCAGGTCTGGGCTTCAGCATAGCGGGCGGAGTGGGGAACCAGCACGTTCCTGGAGACAACAGCATCTACGTCACCAAGATCATCGAAGGCGGAGCGGCACACCGAGACGGACGGCTGCAGATCGGAGACAAGATCCTGGCTGTAAGTGGGTCAGAACCTTCTGGTCCAACCAGAGTCTGGCTGTGAGCTGACCTGAGGTGACCTCTGCAGGTGAACCACATGTCTCTGGAGGACGTCCTGCATGAAGACGCCGTGGCGGCCCTAAAGAACACCGGAGAGGTGGTTTACCTGAAGGTGGCCACCCCCACCTCCCAGTACATCCACCAGGTGGACCGGTACAGCCCCCCGGACCTCACCAGCTGTAGGTAACCCCCATCCTGGGTTCAGAACCTTCTAGAGTCCATCATTGTCCTCAGTGTCTCCGTTTGTCCTGCAGCCTACATGGAGCCGGACTACATGTGTGATTACCCACAAGCCCTGCCGCCCCCCTCGCCCCGCCGCTACTCCCCCATCCCCCGCGGCATCATGGGGGAGGATGACTACTCCAGGGAGCCCCGCAGGGTCTGCATCCAGAGGGGGTCCACGGGTCTGGGCTTCAACATCGTGGGGGGGGAGGATGGAGAGGGCATCTTCATCTCCTTCATCCTGGCGGGAGGTCCGGCTGACCTGAGCGGGGAGCTCCGCAAAGGAGACCAGATCCTCAGCGTGAGTCCACCCAACCGGACTGAGGGTTCACTGGGCTGAAGGTCTGCTGATGGAGACACAGTGTCTCTGAGTCTCTACTGACCTTAAAGTTCATGTTCTGATGGTTAATGTTTGGTCCTTCCTGGATCAGACCGATCCCCTCCCTCCTTTACTGGCTCCAGGTCCAATCAATGAACACTGGCAGCCAGGCTGTTGGTCTGGAAACAATCCGTTCTAAAGGTCCAGACCACCATAGAGCTCCACCTCGGAGGGTGGAGGTCATTTATTACCTTTTACAAACTGTGGAAGCAGAGCAGACACCTGGACTCCTGCTGGACCCGGTTCTATCAGAACATGTGGAGAACCTGAACCTGAAGGGCTGTTCTCTGGTGCTTGGAGGTTCAGGTTCAGTCCAGACTTGTGCTCAGGGTACCGTCCATGTTGAGGAGCATCTTCATTGCTGCCTCTCTCTGCTTAAAATGTTCTGGTTGTTTTGGACCTTCCTCTCTGAGTTCCAGTTCTGTTATAAACAATGAACTTGGAACCAGAGCCCATATCAACTTTAGATATTCCCAAACCAGAACCTCTAGCTTTGATAAACCTGTGTATGGTGCCCCCTGGTGGCACGACAGCGGTACTGACCTGTTAACACTAGATGTCCCGGAGAATTCCAGGTTCCCTCCAAGCCCCCCTCCCCTCTTCCAGTCTGTGTATTCACTCCACCTTGCTAACTGTCCTTGTTGTAATGCTGATAACCTGTAATGTGACCAGCCCTTCTACAGGAGACTGGATAAAGGCTGAAACAAACTGGCATCAGAACCAGAGCATTCTCCTCTTTTCATTACCTTCCCCTGCAACATCAGACCTTTCTGCAGGAATATCTTGATAAGTCAGATCTAAATCTTTAATTTAAACCTATTGAACAACCAGATATCATACGGGTCCTAGTTCCTGAGCTGAGAACAGGTCATAACCAGCTTTCCCAGCAAGGCAAGGCAGAGCCTATTTATATTGTCCGTTCACCAACAGACTCATTTAGATTGCAAAGCTCACTATGTGAAAGAAACTTAGAGAATAATTGGATTTTGTCTGTTCTCGCCTTTACACGTCATTCAACATTTCAGCTTAGAGAATGACAAACAGTATGATTTCAGTATAGCAGTAACATTTATTCCACCCAAGGAAAATCTCTACATATGAAGCTACAATTGTCCCATTTAGCAGTTTCTACAAACCCAAGGTGAGTCCTTCCTGCATGTGTGGCAGGTATACTTTGTGCAGTGAACACAACGCTCAGTGCTGTGGTTCCTGTTGCAGAGATTGCACACCTGGCCTGCTTAGAAAAACAATGAAAACATCTAAAAAATAGAGTTTAGCACATTTTCCCAAAGTAAGAGTTGTAGTGTGAACTCAGTTATCATCTGATCGCTGTGCTAAAATCATTGTGCTGACCTAGTGTGACCTAGTTATATTAAATTACAAATATGATCCCCACCCCCCACCCCACTCTCATGTAAAACAGTCTCAAAGAGAGAGACTTTAGCTAAAACTGAAACTGCAGGGGGTGGAATGGTTCTCCAGCCACAGCGCTAATGGGGCATTAACATCTGAAAAGGGATTCATGAGTTGATAAGTACTGCGGGGGGACTGGAGGCTGACGGAAATTCTCCTATCTCTGGGTTTTCTAGTGTTAAACATGTACGGTCCCTCCTGTTGGCAGGACAGCTGTACTGACCTGTTAAATCTATGTATGGTGCCTCCTGGTGGCAGGACAGTGGTACTGACATGTTAAATTTTATAGTAAAATCCACCTGTATATTATATTCGGTACATATCCAGCTGTAAATTTAGTTCACAACACTAATTATCTATATATTATATTCATCTATTAGTAAGATTCTATTTATAATGGTATTCATCTCTATACTCATTCAGTAGAACCATGTCCTGTATCTATGGAACCATTATCTATCCAGCACTGCTGCTATTGCACTTCTGGTTAGACCTAAACTGTATTTCGTTGCCTTGGAGCTGTACCTGTGTAATGACAATAAAGTTGAATCTAATCTAATCTAAACCTATGTATGTTGCCCCCTGGTGGCAGGACAGTGGTACTGACCTGATAAATCTATGTATGGAGCCCCCTGGTGGCAGGACAGTGGTACTGACCTGATAAATCTATGTATGGAGCCCCCTGGTGGCAGGACAGTGATACTGACCTGATAAACCTATGTATGGAGCCCCCTGGTGGCAGGACAGTGGTACTGACCTGATAAATCTATGTATGGAGCCCCCTGGTGGCAGGACAGTGGTACTGACCTGATAAATCTATGTATGGAGCCTCCTGGTGGCAGGACAGTGGTACTGACCTGATAAATCTATGTATGGAGCCCCCTGGTGGCAGGACAGTGGTACTGACCTGATAAATCTATGTATGGAGCCCCCTGGTGGCAGGACAGTGGTACTGACCTGATAAATCTATGTATGGAGCCTCCTGGTGGCAGGACAGTGGTACTGACCTGATAAAATCTATGTATGGAGCCCCCTGGTGGCAGGACAGTGGTACTGACCTGATAAATCTATGTATGGAGCCCCCTGGTGGCAGGACAGTGGTACTGACATGTTAAATTTTATAGTAATATCCACCTGTATATTATATTCGGTACATATCCAGCTGTAAATTTTGTTCATAACACTAACTATCTATATATTATATTCATCTATTAGTAAGATTCTGTTTATAATGATATTCATCTCTATACTCATTCAGTAGAACCATGTCCTGTATCTATGGAACCATTATCTATCCAGCACTGCTGCTATTGCACTTCTGGTTAGACCTAAACTGTATTTCGTTGCCTTGGAGCTGTACCTGTGTAATGACAATAAAGTTGAATCTAATCTAATCTAAACCTATGTATGTTGCCCCCTGGTGGCAGGACAGTGGTACTGACCTGATAAATCTATGTATGGAGCCCCCTGGTGGCAGGACAGTGGTACTGACCTGATAAATCTATGTATGGAGCCCCCTGGTGGCAGGACAGTGATACTGACCTGATAAACCTATGTATGGAGCCCCCTGGTGGCAGGACAGTGGTACTGACCTGATAAATCTATGTATGGAGCCCCCTGGTGGCAGGACAGTGGTACTGACCTGATAAATCTATGTATGGAGCCCCCTGGTGGCAGGACAGTGGTACTGACCTGATAAATCTATGTATGGAGCCTCCTGGTGGCAGGACAGTGGTACTGACCTGATAAATCTATGTATGGAGCCCCCTGGTGGCAGGACAGTGGTACTGACCTGATAAATCTATGTATGGAGCCCCCTGGTGGCAGGACAGTGGTACTGACCTGATAAATCTATGTATGGAGCCTCCTGGTGGCAGGACAGTGGTACTGACCTGATAAAATCTATGTATGGAGCCCCCTGGTGGCAGGACAGTGGTACTGACCTGATAAATCTATGTATGGAGCCCCCTGGTGGCAGGACAGTGGTACTGACCTGATAAATCTATGTATGGAGCCCCCTGGTGGCAGGACAGTGATACTGACCTGATAAACCTATGTATGGAGCCCCCTGGTGGCTGGACAGTGGTACTGACCTGATAAACCTATGTATGGAGCCCCCTGGTGGCAGGACAGTGGTACTGACCTGATAAACCTATGTATGGAGCCCCCTGGTGGCTGGACAGTGGTACTGACCTGATAAACCTATGTATGGAGCCCCCTGGTGGCTGGACAGTGGTACTGACCTGATAAACCTATGTATGGAGCCCCCTGGTGGCTGGACAGTGGTACTGACCTGATAAATCTATGTATGGAGCCCCCTGGTGGCAGGACAGTGGTACTGACCTGATAAATCTATGTATGGAGCCCCCTGGTGGCAGGACAGTGGTACTGACCTGATAAATCTATGTATGGAGCCCCCTGGTGGCAGGACAGTGGTACTGACCTGATAAATCTATGTATGGAGCCCCCTGGTGGCAGGACAGTGATACTGACCTGATAAATCTATGTATGGAGCCCCCTGGTGGCAGGACAGTGGTACTGACCTGATAAACCTATGTATGGAGCCCCCTGGTGGCAGGACAGTGGTACTGACCTGATAAATCTATGTATGGAGCCCCCTGGTGGCAGGACAGTGGTACTGACCTGATAAACCTATGTATGGAGCCCCCTGGTGGCAGGACAGTGGTACTGACCTGATAAATCTATGTATGGAGCCCCCTGGTGGCAGGACAGTGGTACTGACCTGATAAATCTATGTATGGAGCCCCCTGGTGGCAGGACAGTGATACTGACCTGATAAATCTATGTATGGAGCCCCCTGGTGGCAGGACAGTGGTACTGACCTGATAAATCTATGTATGGAGCCCCCTGGTGGCAGGACAGTGGTACTGACCTGATAAATCTATGTATGGAGCCCCCTGGTGGCAGGACAGTGGTACTGACCTGATAAATCTATGTATGGAGCCCCCTGGTGGCAGGACAGTGATACTGACCTGATAAACCTATGTATGGAGCCCCCTGGTGGCAGGACAGTGATACTGACCTGATAAACCTATGTATGGAGCCCCCTGGTGGCAGGACAGTGGTACTGACCTGATAAACCTATTTATGTTGCCCCCTGGTGGCAGGACAGTGGTACTGACCTGATAAATCTATGTATGGTGCCCCCTGGTGGCAGGACAGTGATACTGACCTGATAAACCTATGTATGGAGCCCCCTGGTGGCTGGACAGTGGTACTGACGTGTCTCTCCATGCAGGTGAACGGGGTGGACCTCAGGTACGCCACCCATGAGCAGGCTGCAGCAGCCTTGAAGAACGCCGGGCAGACTGTGACCATCGTAGCTCAGTACCGACCCGAGGGTGAGGACGGCCTCTGGGACACAAACTGTTAGCTTAGCATGTCTGCTAGTCTAACAGGGACTACTTCCTGTTTCCTGTGCAGAGTACAGTCGCTTTGAGGCAAAGATCCATGACCTGAGGGAGCAGATGATGAACAGCTCATCAGGCAGTCTGAGGAACAACAGAACCTTCTACGTCAGGTAACCTACCTGCCCCCCCCCCCTCCCCCTGAGGAACAGATGATGATGATGATGATGGTCTTCATGCTGCTTTCAGGGCCCTGTTTGACTACGATAAGCAGTGGGACTGTGGCGTCCTGTCACAGGCTCTGGACTTTAACTTTGGGGAGGTCCTCCATGTGATTGACAGCGCTGATGACGAATGGTGGCAGGCTAGAAGACTCAACCAGCAGGGGGAGCTGGAGGAGCTGGGCTACATCCCCTCCAAACACAGGTTAGCACTGGTTCCTCCCTCCACTGATGGTGGACTGGTTTAGCTCCCAGTAACAGTTAGATGTGTTTCTGTTTCAGGGTGGAGAGGAAGGAGTGGTCCCGCATGAAGAGTAAAGGTATGAAACAGCCGTAAACATCTGGAATTAGTTATTAATGGGAGTCTGCACCAAACCAGCAGAGGACTGGGATCTCAGACCTTTATCCAGTCTATAGCAGGAGGTGCATCTCGTTACTGCAGCAGAAAACCTAAAGCTGCTCTGATCCTCTAGCTTTTCCATTCAACAAACCTGAGACTATTTATCAGGGCTGGGGAGATTAAACCAAGACCTGGAGACTTCAGACCTCTAGTCCTCATGGACCTAAAGAAGCAGCCGCTGCTACTGATCAATCTTAGAGGGTTAGAAAGGATTCAGAATCCATGGTTCTGAAAGTTAAATAACCGCTGAGTGGGAAACTGTCAGACATTTTCCCAGGACTGTCATCTTGAGATGAACATCCTCTCAGAAGGTATTAGGGCACGGTGGTGGAGGGATGATGGTGTGGGCAGTTTACCACAGTTCAGACTGAAGTCATCTCACTCAGAAGCAGCTGGTGGAGATCAGAAGTGTCTGTTTACAGCAGCCTTCTGTCAGCGTGCCCCACAGCAGCTGTGGCTACAATGGAGCTAACCACCATGAGTGAATGAACGACTGTAGAATGCACGGGTTCAGACTCTTTGGATAGAGGTTCCCGTCCCAGTCTGTCCCATCGCTAAAACATCCTGCTAACTGGTTCATTGTCAGAACCATGAGGTCACTGCAGACAGTTAATGATGAAGAAAACAATCATCATCATCCCTGTCTTCTCATCTGTCCGTTTATTAACTGTCCATGTTTTCTCCTTCCAGGTAGAGAAGGTTTCATCCACAGCTATGAACTCGTCACTCAGATTGAAGGTCAGTATCATCCTGGTCCTTTATCTCTGCTTAGTTTATGCTCAGAGCTGCAGTTTAACCTTCCTCTAAGACAGACCTGAGGAGGTCCACCAGGTCCTACTGGACTCCATGACCTTCTCTGACTCCATGGAGGCATCAGCCGTCTGCTATGGTGGTATGATGGGGAGGGGGACAGGTTAGATGAGCTGGTTGGAGGGACAACTCTGTCCTATGCTTATCTCTGGGGACAGTGGAGGAGGTGGAAGGATAGACAGACGGACTGTTGGACCATGTCTCTTTCCCTCCTGTTGGACCATGTCTCTGTTGGACCATGTGTCCTTCCCTCCTGTTGGACCATGTCTCTTTCCCTCCTGTTGGACCATGTCTCTGTTGGACCATGTGTCCTTCCCTCCTGTTGGACCTTGTCCCCCTACCCTCCTGTTGGAAATGTGTCCTTCCCTCCTGTTGGACCGTGTCCCCTACCCTCCTGTTGGACCGTGTCCCCTTCCCTCCTGTTGGACGATGTCCCCCTCCCTCCTGTTGGACCATGTGTCCTTCCCTCCTGTTGGACCTTGTCCCCCTACCCTCCTGTTGGAAATGTGTCCTTCCCTCCTGTTGGACCGTGTCCCCTACCCTCCTGTTGGACCGTGTCCCCTTCCCTCCTGTTGGACGATGTCCCCCTCCCTCCTGTTGGACCATGTGTCCTTCCCTCCTGTTGGACCTTGTCCCCCTACCCTCCTGTTGGAAATGTGTCCTTCCCTCCTGTTGGACCGTGTCCCCTACCCTCTTGTTGGACCGTGTCCCCTTCCCTCCTGTTGGACTGTGTCTCTTTCCCTCCTGTTGGACCATGTCTCTTTCCCTCCTGTTGGACAATGTGTCCTCCCCTGTTCCATAGTCCACCTGTAGTGTACACACCTGAATTAGAACAGTTTATTGTAGTTAATCATCACTGACCAGTGGGTGTGCAGGTGGAACAGTGGTTAGTGAGCATGACCCATGAAAGGAGGCCTTAGTCCTCCCCACTGACCCGGGTTCGAAGCCGACCTGTGGTCCTTTGCCACATGTCCCTCTCTCGTCCCCCTTTCCTGTCATCCTGCTGATCCTACAGATGTTTCAGTGCTTTATGAGTTGTCCTTGTTGCAGGAATGTGGACCAGTGGGGATTTCTCACTGGATATTAGTGAGGCTCAACCTTCACCTGGATGTTTCATGGATCAGATATTAACTCTCAAACTTTATTAATGTTGTGATTAAACTGTATTGAATGTTTGCTAAAATAGTCCTGATTTCATGAGTATGTTTCTCATTAATCAGCAGTTTATTCTGCTCTCAGAAGCAATCTCCCCTCAGAGGCAGCAGGACGCTGCCTGAAAGCCTCTATCAGAAATCCCAGTTTAGGTTGAAGCTGGATTTTATTGGAGAGAGAAAGTAGAGCTCTGATTGGTTAACACTCAGCATTACATCACATCCTATGAGGCCCAGCCTCTTCTGGGGTCTATGGAGCAGAGACGGGTCATAACTCTAGCTGCTCAATGCTGATTGGCTGAACACGCCTATAGATTAAACCAATCAGAGGAGATGTTTCCCTCATGAGACTCAGAGCAGAGAAGAAGAACTGATCATTGAGTCAGAGTCGTACGGTGCTGAACTCTTGTGGTTTCTGGAGTTTATTATTTTAGTTTATTTAACTGCAGCCATTTTACCGCTTTGTAGTGACGTCTTTAAACTTGTGTTGATGCTAAATGTTACGATTTGGTCCCATGTTTCTGAAAGCAGCAGCTTCTGCTGTGGATCCCATTCCTTTCTGAACACCCGCCATAAATAAACGATTGTCCAACGTCCTCCCAGATCATGGTTTCTGCAGATGGTTGAGATGCTTCTTGTTGATCCGCTCAGACCTTCTGTCTGTCTCTCCTCAGTGGACTACGCCCGTCCTGTCATCATCCTGGGACCGACCAAAGACCGGGTCAACGATGACCTGCTGTCTGAGTACCCGGATAAGTTCGGCTCCTGTGTGCCTCGTAAGTCTTCAGCCTCATGGTGAAAAACCCTGGAAGCTGGAGATGAAGCCTCTAAACATGCTCTCTGTCCTCAGACACCACCCGCCCCCGCAGAGACTACGAGATGGACGGCCGGGACTACCACTTTGTGTCGTCACGGGAACAGATGGAGCGGGACATCCAGTCCCACCGCTTCATCGAGGCGGGACAGTACAACAACCACCTGTACGGGACGTCGGTGCAGAGCGTCAGACAGGTGGCGGAGCAGGTGAGACGGAGAGAGCTGATTGGCTGGAGGAGTGGGGGTCCGCCTGAAGCTGGAGGCAGTTCAACATCAGCTAGATGTTTATATCAGTGATAGACCAGAGTATCATCAGCATAGAGCTGATACCAGGGACTGGATGATAAACTGGTCTAACTGGTTTGAATATGAAGGAGCGCTGCAGCTACCCTGTAGTAAAGGACTCTATAGGTGGGCCTTATTATGGGGTTATTACACCTGAACCCCCCCATTCTTTTTTTATTAATGTTTCCTGTCATATCTCTCATTTTAAAGGTATATTGGAGGATGTTCACAAACTTTTGAAAAGACCCGCCCTTTCCACTTGTCGGAATATTTAGAATTCTCTTACTTCATATATTAATTTATCCTATTTAGTCACTATAAACGTTTTCGCTCAGTCTCTTTCACTGTGTGGGGGTGTTTCTAGACCAGACATAACCAGACATTTAAAAAAAAAAGTGCACATGCACAACCCTGAGCTCCAGAGAGGGAACGCCTACTAAACGTGTGCGAGAGCGTGCACAAGCCCATTTCTCCTCGTGCACCAGCCCATTTCTCGTCGTGCACGAGCCCATTTCTCCTCGTGCACGAGCCCATTTCTCCTCGTGCACAAGCCCATTTCTCCTCGTGCACGAGCCCATTTCTCCTCGTGCACGAGCCCATTTCTCCTCGTGCACGAGCCCATTTCTCCTCGTGCAGGAGCCCATTTCTCCTCATGCATGCTCTGTTTAAAAGTCGCTGTGTGCATCGCTCATAGAAACTTACTTTCCAAAAGAAGATTTGAAATTTTTCCACCGTGTCAGACTCACCAACGGTCGGTGAAAATGGGAGCGAGCTCATAGGACGACCTTACGATAACTCATCACCAGAATGATTGACAGTTAGAAGAACCACTGATAGAGATGATCCATCCAAAGAACATCCTCCACTATACCTTTAATGATAATAATTTTACTAATGGGCGCCCCCTGCTGTCCTCCAGGGTAAACACTGCATCCTGGACGTCTCAGCCAACGCAGTGAGGAGGCTCCAAGCCGCTCACCTCCATCCAATCGCCATCTTCATCCGACCTCGATCCCTGGAGAACATCCTGTGAGTCCGTCAGGTTCTGATCATACGTATCATCTGGTGAATGATCAGCAGTGAAATGAGTCCCTGATGTCTCTGCAGGGACCTGAACAAGCGCCTCTCAGAGGACCAGGCGAGGAAAGCTCTGGATCGAGCCATCAAGCTGGAGCAGGACTTCCTGGAGTGCTTCACAGGTAGAAACTTCACCTTTGGTCCTAAACTAACCTGAGAGCAGGATGTTCTGATCAGCTGTTCTGATGTCAGACTGTTAGACCCACCAGGCCGCTCTCTGCTCCCTGAGGGAGTCAGTGATTGACCAATAGTTTACACCTGAAATGACCAATAAAGGTGATTATTCTCCACCAATCACAGCCGGTCTCTGTCTCTTCCAGCCATCGCTCAGGGCGACAGCTTCGACGAGGTCTACCACCAGGTCAAACTGGTCATCGAGGAGCAGAGCGGACCCTACATCTGGGTTCCTGCTCGGGACAGACTCTGATTGGCTGTCTCCATGGTAACCTCTGTGACCATCCACTCTGCCTCCTCTTCCTCTTGCTGCTGTGGGCGGAGCTACCCAACATGGATCGTTTTTCACTTTTGTTTCTACGAGAAGATGACGAGCGAGCTCAGTGATTGCATGAATGCTGTAACCATGGCGATCACATCCCTGTCAGTTGGTCCACAGACCGACTGAGCGGGAGAAAAATCCAGAATCATCAGAAAATAACGAAGCAGAGACTGTAGAGTTCAGCTCCTATTGAAGTATTTATAGCAACATATTTATTTATTGATTGATCTATTTATTTATTAATAATTTATGTGACGTGAAAATGGTGTGTGCGTGTGTGAGAGTCTGTGTGTAGTGTACATAAAGACGTGTGTGACTGTAAATAAAACCAAGGGGCTTAAACACACAGTCTATTCAGGGCTTCAACTATCACACAACCGATGGACTACAACACCTCCCTAAGGACTACAACACCCACAGTCATCGTCCTTTAGGACTACAACACCTCCTTTAGGACTGCAACACCCACAGTCATCCTCCTTTAGGACTACAACACCTCCTTTAGGACTGCAACACCCACAGTCATCCTCCTTTAGGACTACAACACTTCCTTTAGGACTACAACACCCACAGTCATCGTCCTTTAGGACTACAACACTTCCTTTAGGACTGCAACACCCACAGTCATCCTCCTTTAGGACTACAACACTTCCTTTAGGACTGCAACACCCACAGTCATCCTCCTTTAGGACTACAACACTTCCTTTAGGACTGCAACACCCACAGTCATCCTCCTTTAGGACTACAACACTTCCTTTAGGACTACAACACCCACAGTCATCGTCCTTTAGGACTACAACACCTCCTTTAGGACTACAAAACCCACAGTCATCCTCCTTTAGGACTACAACACCTCCCTTAGGACTACAACACGTCCCTTAGGACTACAACACCCACAGTCATCGTCCTTTAGGACTACAACACCCACAGTCATGGTCCTTTAGGACTACAATACCCAGAGTTTTCCTCCTTTAGGACTACAACACCCACAGTCATCCTCCTTTAGGACTACAGTACCCAGAGTTTTCCTCCTTTAGGACTACAACACCCACAGTCATCCTCCTTTAGGACTACAACACCTCATTTAGGACTACAACACCCACAGTCATCGTCCTTTAGGACTACAACACCTCCTTTAGGACTACAACACCTCCCTTAGGACTACAACACCCAGAGCTTTTCTCCTTTAGGACTGCAACACCCACAGCCATCGTCCTTTAGGACTACAACACCTCATTTAGGACTACAACACCCAGAGCTTTCCTCCTTTAGGACTACAACACCCACAGCCATCGTCCTTTAGGACTACAACACCTCATTTAGGACTACAACACCCAGAGCTTTCCTCCTTTAGGACTACAACACCCACAGTCATCGTCCTTTAGGACTACAATACCCACAGTCATCGTCCTTTAGGACTACAACACCTCCTTTAGGACTACAACACCCAGAGCTTTCCTACTTTAGGACTAATACACCTCCCTTAAGACTCCAACACCCGCCGCTGTTCTCACTTAGGACTCTAAAAAGCGGAGCTTTCCTCCTGTAAGACTACAGCTCCCACCGTTCTGCTCTCAGAGCCACGACGAGCTACAGCTCATATATTTGGCCAAAATCAGTCTGCTAAAGAGCTTCATTAAAGCTGAGAATAGCAAACATGTCCTTTTTAAAAGAAATGACACTAAAGATGTCCATTGATGAGGTCTTAAAGTTAGTCTCACTCAGGACATCAGAAAGGACATCATAAAAACATTGCTCTGTTTCGGTTGCCATCTTGTTTTTATGCTAGCAGAAAGGCACTGAGAGTGACGCATCATAAAGTCCTGCGTCCCGCGCTGTAATTGGTCCGGCCCGATCTGTTTACCAGACGATGATTTTCCATGTAATTCCGTCTGTCTGGCCAGGCTCGCACCCTGGATTATCAGGACTCCAATTATTGGATAAATTATACCAGAAACCATAGATCTAAAATGATTAGAGTCGTTTATTAAAAAGGAAACTATTTGGTTTCAGCAAAGATTTACCAAAAAAGTTCGCTTTTTAAAATTCAGGATTTGAATCAATTAGAATTTTTATTTATTAAAAGTGCAAAACTGATCTCAGTAGTTTGTTGTTGCTATAGTAACTATCCGAGGCCATTAGTTTAATCTTTTTTTGGTGTTTGAGTTTCAGGTTTCTCTTAAATATGTCTCACCAAATAATGATCAGTCAGCCCTGATTGGTTCAGTCCCAGCAAATTAAGCACCGCCCCATCTCTAGACTTACTTTATTTTGACCAATACTGTTAGTGCTTCCTGTTCTGAACAAGAAGAGGAGGTCCAAAACAACTTCTACGTGAGGCCTACTGTTAGGACTACAATTCCCACAATCCTCCTCATTTAGGACCAGTCATCCTCAGATTGGACTGAATTACCTGCAGTCAGTTGTTTGGAGGACAACGTCAACAGTCATCCTATGGATTATAAAAAAACTTGATCCTCCTGTGTTTGGACCACAACGCCTACAATCTGTTTTAGGACTACAACTCTGAATTTCTCCTTGGACTACAACACCCACGGTCCTCATCTGATTGGACTACAACACCTGTGGTCCTCATCTGATTGGACTACTACACCCACGGTCCTCATCTGATTGGACTACAACACCCACGGTCCTCATCTGATTGGACTACAACACCCACGGTCCTCATCTGATTGGACTACAACACCCACGGTCCTCATCTGATTGGACTACAACACCCACGGTCCTCATCTGATTGGACTACAACACCCACGGTCCTCATCTGATTGGACTACAAAACCCACGGTCCTCATCTGATTGGACTACAAAACCCACGGTCCTCATCTGATTGGACTACAAAACCCACGGTCCTCATCTGATTGGACTACAGCACCTAAAGACCTTTTCTTTGGTCTACAGAACCCCAGTCCTCCTCTGCTTTCCTACAGCTCCTACCAGAATCCATTTGGACTCAAACTCCCATAATGCCGTTCTCTTTGGGCTGAAGGACTCTGTTTGATTCCAGCCCTGATGTTAAATATCCCAGTCAATCTAAACTCAAACATCTGCACCTCTCTGCGGTCCGGCCTACAATAGTTTTCTACAGGACTACATTTCCCAGAGTTCAACGTTCCACATCCACCCATGGAGGCTGGGTCCTGGATGGTTTACCTGCTTCATGAGGTCATGGGCCGGAGGGGAAGCACTAAATATACCCATGCTAGGATGACCCGCCCAGCTGGGTCCAGAACTCTGAACTCCTTAGCTGGTCCTGCTGGTGGACCGGGTCAGAGGATGTTTGACCCTCTGGGACCAGAGAGGGCTGCTGGTTTACCAACCTGCTGTAAAATAACATAAATTAGTTATTAATAAAATTCAACTATTGAAATAAATTCCTTATGAAAACTGGATTCTGACTCTGTCTGGTTTTGATCATCAGAACCTTCAGGATCACTAAAACCTCAGACATTAAACCTGAACCAGTGGATCATTGTCTCCCCCTGCTGGTTCAGAGAGTAATTACACCAACACTGGTCACCTGGATGATGTCATTAGGCTCTACATCAGATAAGATAAGATCATCAGATCTTATGTTTTTATTATGTAATGAAGCCCCTTCCTCCATCCTGCACCGTTACCATGGTAACCCTGCTGCTGATGCTGGTCACCTGATCTTTGATCATCAGCTGACAGACTTAATCCAGGTCTTGGTCAGTTCCTCCCTCCTGGTGTTTGGCTTTAGTTTTTGTTCCGGTATAAAATAATTGGTCTGTTTTGGTGGTTCTGGACCTCAGAGATGTTTCTGGTTCTGGTTCAGAGATGCAGGGAAATAAATCACAGCCACAGGTTGATTCTCTGAACCGTTTATTCATAGAAACATAAAGAAAACATCCATAAAAAGTGATGCAGCAAAAAAGGACGGTCAGTGATTCACCCTCACCCTCTGCTTTCTTTGGACATGTTGATTATTTACTGACTGGTTCTGAAAGAACAGGCTGTCTCTGAATACTCGAGTACTGAGGAAATAAATGGCTATAGATTATCACAGGGATTATTTCCTCTGAAAGAGAACAATGCTGGGTGAGCAGATGAATCCCTGTCAGGTCAGCTGTGATGTTCCTACAGTGGAGGTGATTTCAGAACTTCAGCTTTATTAAAAACTGCATGAAGATCCTCCTACCTGTGGACCAAAGGCAGCATGAGCTCTGCCTGAGAATAAAACCATAGAAGAAGACAGAGGCAGCGGTCAGCAGGTGGGAGGTGAGGGTCACCTGTTCTCCTTCATATGGTTTAATATAACATTCATGGAACCGGACCAGAACCAGGTGGATGTTCTACAGAACCAGAGGTGGAGAAAACAGAACCTCTGATATTTATGATCATTTTTATTCATCGTAGAAATGGAAGAATTTATAGATATATAAATTCCACATAAAACTGAATCTCCATCAGTAGGTGTAGCTGTGGGTGTGGGGGTCCATCAGGGTGGGTGATCTCCATCAGTAGGTGTAGCTGTGGGTGTGGGGGTCCATCAGGATGGGTGATCTCCATCAGTAGGTGTGGGTGTGGGGGTCCATCATGGTGGGTGATCTCCATCAGTAGGTGTAGCTGTGGGTGTGGGGGTCCATCAGGGTGGGTGATCTCCATCAGTAGCTGTGGGTGTGGGGGTCCATCATGGTGGGTGATCTCCATCAGTAGGTGTGGGTGTGGGGGTCCATCAGGGTGGGTGATCTCCATCAGTAGGTGTAGCTGTGGGTGTGGGGGTCCATCAGGGTGGAGGATCTCCATCAGTAGGTGTAGCTGTGGGTGTGGGGGTCCATCAGGGTGGGTGATCTCCATCAGTAGGTGTAGCTGTGGGTGTGGGGGTCCATCATGGTGGGTGATCTTCATCAGTAGGTGTAGCTGTGGGTGTGGGGGTCCATCAGGATGGGTGATCTCTCTCCATCAGAAAGTGTAGCTGTGGGTGGCGGGGTCCATCAGGGTGGGTGATCTCCATCAGTAGGTGTGGGTGTGGGGGTCCATCAGGGTGGGTGATCTCCATCAGTAGGTGCAGCTGTGGGTGTGGGGGTCCATCAGGGTGGGTGATCTCCATCAGTAGGTGTAGCTGTGGGTGTGGGGGTCCATCAGGGTGGGTGATCTCCATCAGTAGGTGTAGCTGTGGGTGTGGGGGTCCATCAGGGTGGAGGATCTCCATCAGTAGGTGTAGCTGTGGGTGTGGGGGTCCATCAGGGTGGGTGATCTCCATCAGTAGGTGTAGCTGTGGGTGGGGGGGTCCATCAGGGTGGGTGATCTCCATCAGTAGGTGTAGCTGTGGGTGTGGGGGTCCATCAGGGTGGGTGATCTCCATCAGTAGGTGTAGCTGTGGATGTGGGGGTCCATCAGGGTGGAGGATCTCCATCAGTAGGTGTAGCTGTGGGTGTGGGGGTCCATCAGGGTGGGTGATCTCCATCAGTAGGTGTAGCTGTGGGTGTGGGGGTCCATCAGGGTGGGTGATCTCCATCAGTAGGTGCAGCTGTGGGTGTGGGGGTCCATCAGGGTGGGTGATCTCCATCAGTAGGTGCAGCTGTGGGTGTGGGGGTCCATCAGGGTGGGTGATCTCCATCAGTAGGAGTAGCTGTGGGTGTGGGGGTCCATCAGGGTGGGTGATCTCCATCAGTAGGTGCAGCTGTGGGTGTGGGGGTCCATCAGGGTGGGTGATCTCCATCAGTAGGTGCAGCTGTGGGTGTGGGGGTCCATCAGGGTTGGTGATCTCCATCAGTAGGTGTAGCTGTGGGTGTGGGGGTCCATCAGGGTGGGTGATCTCCATCAGTAGGTGCAGCTGTGGGTGTGGGGGTCCATCAGGGTGGGTGATCTCCATCAGTAGGTGTAGCTGTGGG